GATCAGTGGGTTGACACCTTTACCCCTGGAGGACAGCGTGTGGCGATCTGCACGTGCTCCAGGACTGGCCGTCACCTGGCTACGTTTACCCGTCGGCCGGGGTCGAGTCTCTACACACTGACCACTGCGTCTCCTCAGGTTGCTGCTGTCGGTCAGGTGTCCGCGTCAGGTCTGGTGGCCCACGCCTGTGAGTGTCGTTCCCTGTCGCACCAGACTCTTCTCTGGCACCACCGCCTGGGTCACCCCTCCTTGCCACGCCTCCGTGGCATGCACCGTCGCTGCCTTGTGTCTGGTCTTCCCAGGTCCCTCCCTCCCCTCCCTGCCTCGCCTGCGCCGCCTTGCCTTCCTTGCGTCGAGGGGCGGCAGCGCGCCGCTCCTCACTCCTCCTCGTTCCCCCTGACAGAGGCTCCTCTGCAGACCCTCCACCTGGACGTGTGGGGCCCAGCCCGCGTTCGTGGCCAGGGCGGTGAGCGGTACTTTTTGCTGGTTGTCGACGACTACTCGCGTTACACCACGGTCTTCCCCTTGCGCACCAAGGGTGAGGTCCCTGCTGTTCTGATCCCTTGGATCCGCACAGTTCGTCTCCAGCTCCGCCGCCGTTTCCGGACGGATCTTCCTGTCCTGCGTCTGCACTCTGACAGAGGTGGTGAGTTTTCCTCCGATCTCTTGAGGACCTTCTGTCAGGCGGAGGGCATCGAGCAGACCTTCACGCTTCCGGACTCCCCACAGCAGAATGGGGTTGCTGAGCGCCGCATTGGCCTGGTCATGGAGGTCGCTCGTACCTCCTTGGTCCACGCGGCGGCTCCCCATTTTCTGTGGCCGTTTGCTGTCCGGTACGCCGCGCATCAGCTCAACCTCTGGCCCCGTGTCTCCTTGCCGGAGACCTCGCCCACACTGCGTTGGACGGGGGAGGTTGGTGATGCGTCGCGCTTCCGGGTGTGGGGTGCTCGTGCCCTTGTCCGCGATACGTCCGCGGACAAGCTCTCCTCCCGCACGCTTCCCTGTGTCTTCCTTGGCTTTGTCCCTGACGCGCCGGGCTGGCAGTTTTACCACCCCACCTCGCGCCGGGTCTTCGCCTCTCAGGACGTCACCTTTGACGAGTCGGTCCCTTTTTACCGTCTCTTCCCCTACCGCACTGCCCCCCTCTTCCTTGCTCCTGGTCCCCCTCCGGTAGACCCCCTTCCCCCTCAGGGTCCTGCTCCTTCAGGTGTCTCTCAGGTAGACCCTCCTCCCGTCGCTGAGCCTGTCGAGGTCACAGGTGACTCAGGTGCTGCTGCAGGTGGTGCTGCTGGGAGTGCTGAGCCTGGGGGTGCTGAGCCTGCGGGTGCTGGGCCTGGGAGTGCTGGGACTGCGGGTGCTGGAGCTGAGGGTACTGTGCCTGGGAGTTCGGCGCCTGGGGGTGCTGAGCCTGGGGGTGCTACGACTGGGGGTGCTGAGCCTGCGTGTACGGAGTCTGGGGGTGCCGAGCCTGGGGGTACTGCGCCTGAGGGTACTGAGCCTGGGGGTGCTGCTACTGAGCCTACGGAGCCTGGGGTTGCTGCGTCTGGGGGTGCTCTTCCTGGCGGTACTGGAGCTGCTGGAGCTGACGACGCTGGAGCTGACGGTTCTGGACACGGTGGTCCTGCTGGTTCTGGAGGTGCTGGCGAGGGGAGGTCTGACGCTGCTGGGGCCTCTGGTGCTGACGTCGCCGACTCGGGGGGTGCTGCGGCGGAGGGTGCTGGTCCAGGTGCTTCTGGTGCTCCGGGTGCTGGAGGTGCTGGCGGAGCTCCGCCGTCGCGCCTGTTCTTCGCTCCTCCGTCGCCGTCGGCTTTGCCGCCGCCTGACACGGTGCTTCGCCAGGTTCTTTCCCTCCCGTCTTCCACTGGCCTTCCCCTTCAGCCTGGCTCCCCCCTCCCTGCTCCTGTGCCTTATAAGGCGCAGCCGGACTCGCTTACGGAGCGTCGTGAGCCTGCGTCTCGTCCTGCCTCGCCGGTTCGCGCTGCTCGCACTGCTCGCACTGGTCCCACTAGCCGTCGTGTCGCGCGTCCGCGTCCTCCTCCTGTTCCTGGCACGCACATTATGGCACTTCGTCCTTCCACTGGTCCACAGCGTGTCCCCCTACCGTCTCCTCCTGCGTCTTCTCTTCCTGACGTTCCCGACCCTGAGTCTGACAGTGTTCGTGCTGCCCACCCTACTGTCACGCGTCTTCTCGCCACTGTTGTCACTGACCCGTCGTTTGAGTCTTCTGCTGCGTCTGCCCTGGTCGCTGAGCTTGTCAACTTTGCTGCTGCCTGTCGCCTCGACTACGCCGCCAGTCTTGTTGCTGAGTCTGACTCTGTCTGTCCTCCGTCCGTCGGGGGTGAGTGTGCTCTTGGCACGGACGTCCTTGAGGACAGGCAGGAGGACTTTGACTCTCTCGCGGCTGCTGTACCTCATCTCGTGGCCTGGTTGCTTGCCCCTGAGGGAGACCCGGATGCACTAGACATCCCCACTCTGCGCACTTACGCAGAGGCGATCTCGGGTCCCTACTCCTCTCAGTGGCAGACAGCCATGGACGCAGAGATGGCATCCTGGAAGTCCACAGGCACCTACGTCGACGAGGTTCCCCCTCCTGGGGCGAACATCGTCGATGGCATGTGGATTTTCAGGGTGAAGCGGCCGCCAGGTTCTCCGCCTGTCTTCAAGGCTCGTTACGTTGCTAGAGGCTTCAGTCAGCGTCAGGGGGTCGACTTCTTCCAGACCTTCTCCCCCACCCCGAAGATGACCACTCTTCGGGTTTTGCTGCACGTTGCTGCTCAGCGTGACTACGAGCTTCACTCTCTTGACTTCAGCACAGCGTTCCTGCAGGGCAGCCTGCACGAGGAGATCTGGCTGCGCCGCCCACCTGGCTTTACTGGGTCGTTTCCTCCTGGTACCCAGTGGAGTCTCCGCCGGCCAGTCTACGGTCTCCGCCAGGCGCCACGTGAGTGGCACGACACACTGAGGACTACACTTGCGGCTCTTGGGTTCGCGCCGTCTACTGCTGACCCGTCGCTGTTTCTGCGCACAGACACGTCGCTGCCGCCGTTCTACATTCTCGTGTACGTCGACGACTTGGTCTTTGCTACTGCTGACACTGAGGCACTTGCTCGTGTGAAGTCGGAGCTGCAGAAGAGACACACCTGCACTGACCTGGGTGAACTGCGTAGCTACCTTGGCTTGCAGATCACCCGGGACAGAGCTCGCCGCACCATCACCCTGACTCAGTCACACATGGTGCAGCAGGTCCTTCAGCGCTTCGGCTTCCAGTTCTCCTCACCACAGGCCACACCTCTGGCTACCAGCCACTCGCTCTCAGCTCCACCTTCGGACGAGTCCGTAGAGCCGAGTGGCCCGTACCCAGAGCTTGTAGGCTGCCTCATGTACCTGATGACTTGCACGCGACCTGACCTCGCGTACCCACTTAGCATCCTTGCTCGCTACGTTGCGCCTGGGAGACACAGGCGAGAGCACTGGGAGGCTGCTAAGAGAGTGCTGCGTTACTTGTGCAGTACATCAGGCATAGGGCTGGTGCTTGGAGGACGCGACAGAGTTGTCCTCACTGGTCACTCGGACGCTTCTTGGGTGGACGACCTGGCTACGCAGCGGTCGTCACAGGGTTACACCTTCAGCCTTGGCTCTGGTTCTGTCTCGTGGCGGTCCACCCGCTCTTCTTCTGTTCTCGGCTCTAGTTGTGAGGCTGAGATCTACGCCACAGCCATGGCTGCACAGGAGTTACGCTGGCTCACCTACCTGCTGACTGACTTGGGAGAGCGGCCTAGTTCTCCTCCAGTTCTATACGGTGACAACAAGGCGGCTCTTGCCTTGTGTCAGGAGCACAGACTGGAGCACAGGACGAAGCACATTGCTCTTCGCTACTTTCTTGCTCGAGAGCTTCAGCAGCGCGGTCAGCTTCGGCTTGTGTACGTGGACTCGAAGGCCAACACTGCTGATATCTTCACCAAGGCGCTCCCGCCTAGTGATCATCAGCGGCACTGTACTTCTTTAGGCCTTGTGTCCACGTTTCCTCACTTGCTCACTGCTTGACATTCTTTGTACTGTACTTTATATTTGTCTTGCTGCTTGTCCTGTTCTATATCTAGCACTACATGTGAACTGGCCTTGTGGCCTTTGTTTGTGCTCGGAGTGTGGTGACGTTGTGATCCACCCTGGGCTTGTTTTTGCTTTGCTGGACTGGTCTTGTGACCCTTTGCTCTCCCCCACTTTGCCTATGGGGGTGTGTTAAGTTGTAATGTGTTATTTATATGTAGGTAGGCTGTAGTGGGGTAGCCAATACAGGGTACAAACCCAACTAGGGTTAGCTACTTGTACCCAACTGTTTCTTTCAATGCACCCATTCTTGCCTAGTTCTGTTTCTGTTAACACGGTTATCGAGCCGCACAGTTGCAATCCTACATCTAGATTAGCCCTAAGGGGAATGTACCCCCTCAGAGTACATGGCTAGCTAGGACCTTTCGTATTCCACTGTATTCCTATATAAACCCTTGTACCGCATTGTGTTAATCACTTCTGTCGAGATCCAATTCTCCTTCTACTGACAGAGTCCGTACCCGACATTACCCAAACCTTCCACTGCTACACTCCGTGCGACCAACCTGAGACTTTCCTATAAGACGGTTCAGATTGTATCACCCCCTCTAACTCCTCACGCACGGTTACGACCGTCTTTGTCTGTATATGCTTGTTCCTTTCGGTGTATACATTCAATTATCATAAAAAAAAAAAAAAAAAAAAATCTGTTTCGCCTCCTCACAGAAGCAAAATGGCCTTGACATGACAAATCGCTTCACATGTGCAAATTAGTGACGTGCATATGAGTGAAATTTTCTCAATCAATTAAATTTATTCATGTTATTGTCTTTTTAATTATTTCTTTTTGTGGAAATCATAAAGGGTGGGGATGGAAGAAACTCATTATTGGAGCTGAACAAGGTTCATACGGTATGATCTTTTGAAAGCATGTTCGATTGCTGAGTCAAAGAATGGACACGGGTTTTAGCGAGAACAGAAACCTCAGGCGGGAATCAATCCTCCACGCAGAACCCATTCTACTAGATCCTTTCCTGTTCCCTGCAGTATTCTAGAGCTATACAGCGGCCTGCAGTATTCTAGCGCCACAGCCGAGTCACTTATAACCGAAGGTACGGATAATCGTAGTGTGGAGATGCAATAAATTCATTTAAAACGCCGACTCTCATCTCCCCTCGTCCTTTCCACTCGCTCCCCCGTGCCTTCTCCTCGCACCCCTCGCCGCGCCGCGCCATCCCTTTCCCTTGCCGCCTGTTCCGCGCTCGCGTCCCGTCTATCCGTGCGTTCGCCCCGCGTGTCGTCTCGTGTGGCTCTTTCTCCAGCTCGCGCCCGTCCCCCACCACCACGTCGCATCCCCTTCCTCGTACCTCTTTACTCCCTGTTCCTCTTCTCCTTCCTCTGGCACCCCTCTCCTCTGCTCGTCCGCTCTCGCGCTCCTCCGTTCCTCCGCTCTGCCGATCCCAATCCTACCCTCATACGCTCCCTCCCTTCCCCCGTGCCTCTTCCCCGCCACCCATCATCTCTCTCAACGCCTCGTTACCTTCGTCACCTTGCCGCGCAACCTCCACATCACTTCCTGCCCACCCCGTCAACCACGCACTTGTCTTCCTCCCTCCCTCCCTCCCTCCCTCTCTCTGCCATGCGTCCTTCCTCGTTTCCTTCCAACGGCCGCTCCAAACCCTCGTTCGTGCCCCCGGCTTCTCTCCCGTCCCCTCGCGTTCTGCCTTCTTCCCTCACCTTCCTTCCCGTCCCTGCACACCTGGTTACCTCCCTGGCAGGCAACGAGCGGCTGGCAGCATCTAACCGCTCAGTACCTTTGTCTTTCTCCTCCTTGTCTTGCATCACCGCTCACCACCGTTCGTCCTGTGAGTCTCAGCTCCACCCACTGCTTCCCGTCAACCCTTGTGCGTCCTGTCATCTTCGGTTTGTGAGTCTTCCGATTGTCAATCTGTATGGCTGTTATTGCAATGAATTGGAATAAATTTCACTATTTCTTGGCTTGTTAGATCATGTGCTGTGCTCGTATCCTTCCCTCACCTCACCTTTTCTCACCAACTCTTTACATCCTTCTCCCTCACCTCTTTCCCTCACCTCTTTCCCTCACCCCTCCCCCCCTCCCTCCCAACCCTCTCTCCCTTCGCATCGCTCTTCCTCACCATCTGCCTCCTCACTCCCTTCCTTCATACAATCCCTCTCCCCGCGCTCATTCTCCCTCACATGGCAGGCCCGTCATTCTAATTTATCGTCGATGACAGCTCTTGTTACCCTCCTCTCATTTCCTTTCCCGTTTCTCTCCCCTGTTTCTCTCCCCTGCCGCTTGTATCCTATCATAATTCATTCCTCCTGATTCTGTATTGCTTATACGTGTCTCGCAAGCCCGTCACATCACGTATAATACAGTATGCTATGGATGTCACTTCTTATTCTATCTTTACGTTCTCCGTCTTCCTTACAAGACTATCCACACCTGGTCGACAGTAGCTTTATCTGAGAAACCGCTGTCTGAGAAACCAATTTTTTGTGGTTCCCAAGGGGTTTCATGGTTCCTCAATACTGATCGCTCCTTGAACCCCACTCTTCTCCAAAGTCAGGCTGATGCCGCCATACCAATGGCTTCTTTGCATTCGCTTCGGGACAGAAATTCCCACTTGATGGTACTCAGAAGCTCTCGCGTGTTTCTGAACAAAACCCATCGGCTCATCCAACCTGCCCCTTCACTCATCCCACCCATCCCTACCCATCCGTGCGCATCCCTACTCCTGCCGTTCCTTCCCTCATTCCCTTCCCCAACCCCAGCCACGCAGCAACACACATCCCAGCAATATCCCAAGAGCGCGGTGCGGCGCACAGCAAGGGCACGGAAGGAAACACTGCCAAACGTGCACGGGCCCGGTAAGGCCGGGAGCAAGCTAGCAAGCAACCCAACCGAGCAAGCAAGCGAACGAGCGAGCAAGCAAGTGAGCAGGCATGAAGCCGGGGTTCTCGACGCATCCGTTCCTGCAGGACTCGGAGGAGGTGGGCGGGGCGGCGATGGATGTGGACATGGACGTGGCTGAGATGGGGCTGGACGCCGGTGACCCGCACCCGCTGGAGAAGCTCGCTGACTCGGACTTCTTCAACAAGTTTGAAGATGATTTCGAGGACGCCGACCTGGCTTAGCTTAGGGGGGCGTTGGAGGGGGGGCGGGGGCGTTTTGGGGCAGGTTGGAGGGTGTTGCAGTGAGGGTGCAAAACGAGAAGGGAGAAACACGCTGAGCTGACTCGGACTTGTTCAACAAGTTTGAAGACGACTTTGAGGACGCCGACCTGGCGTGGTGGAGGTGCCCAAGGGAAAGGAGGAGCTCGCGGACTGGATTTTGTTTGAACGAGTTTGAAGATGACTTTGAGGATGCGGACCTGACGTAGGGGGCAGGGGGGGTGACTGTTGAATGGATGAAGGGGATGAGGTGGAGGGGATGTGCGGATGAGGAGCTGGGGGAGACTTGTAAACTCTTACACCGTATTCACTCAGTCACCCTTTCTCACCTTGATTGATCTTCTGAGATGGATAATGTGGAATTTGTGCTACAGTTAGCAATTCCGTGATGTGTAGTTTATGTGGAGAGTATAGTATCTACCACATGTTTGTGAGCAGTTGTCGGGCCCTGCTTACGGTATACCAGTAATTCTAGCAGCTTGTTTGCTGCAATGCTTACCAATGGGCATGCGAAGCAAGGTATACCGGTAGTAGGTAACATGCTGGATTGATTGCTTATGACAAGTGCTAATACGGTACAGTACGGTACGGGGTAGGCTATCCCAATTGCCGGAACACGCACTAGTGTTCCGCCAAGAAATGTCGAACTACCGTAGTTCAGCAGCATACTGAGTCTATAGACTACCGTAAAAGAAACATGAGGAGGAAGCATTCCAACAATACTGCTACTGGTATCACTCCTGAACACTATAAACAAAAATTGAAGCATCCCAGAAATACTGATAGCCACGAGTACCTTCCTGGCAGGTCCCAAGAAGAGAACAAGACAACCGGGGTTGAAGTAAATCGTCTGTCAGTCTGCCAGTCTGCCAGTCTGCCAGTCTGCCAGTCTGCCAGACTGCCAACCTGTCAGTCTGCCAGTCTGCTAATCCCCTCCTCGCTCCTCCCACCTCTCATGCTCCTCTTTAAATCAGGCTGCCAAACCGAGTTGCCTTCTGAGTCCACTCAAAACGCTCCTCCTCCCTAAACCTCCACTGCAATCACCGACTTCACCCTGTGGCCTGCACTGTCACTCCAAGTCAGGCTGCCAAACCTCCACCCACTCCCCGCCCCTGCTGCACCCGCACCCGCACGCGGGGTCAGCTTCACCGAGAACCTCACAGCATTGGCAGCGCCTGTTTCAATGGTGAAACTCGACGGAGTAACCTCCACATCCACCCCAGCTGGCTCCACCACTGTTGCTTTATACGTCGCCGTGTCCCCCAGGTTGGTAACCGTGCGCGTGACGGTAACCGCGCCTTGCAGGTTCGACACAGCAATCGCCGGCCGGTTGAGATCCCGGGCGGAGAGCGGCGACACCACCTGCCCATCCTGGAAAACCTTCCCCGCCAAAGCCGCATTCTGCCCGGTTAAAAACCTTAGAAAATGCGCCACTTCAGCATTGTAAACCAGCCCAGGCCCGGGATTAAACATCTCATCCACATCCACGTGCCCCGCGCCCATGTCCATGGGTGTGGGCGCATCCGTCTTCACATGATCCTGCCTCACCATGCTTGCATTCGCAGTCGTCGTCAGCACCGACATGACCTGCACGGGCGTGAGCGATGGGTTTCGCTGCATGAGCAGCGCAGCGATCCCTGCCACGTGCGCTGCTGCCACAGATGTTCCAGATCCGATCTTGAACTCTGTGGTGTCTGAGAGGGTTGTGCCGCGGGAGGCGGCCCAGATGAAGGCTCCTGGGGCGACGAGGTCGGGCTTGAATACGTCTGTGGTGGCGCCTTGGGAGAGAGGGCCGGTGGAGGAGGTCGCGTACATGACTGGTGCTGTCAGGTCGCTTGCTGTGGTGAAGGCGGATGAGAGGGACGCTCGCGGACTGCAGGGGGGGAGGGGAAATGGAAGGGGAAAAGCGCAAGAGGGTGGTAAGGGGAGAGATGAGAGGCGAAGCGTGGATAAACAGGGGGGTTGTGCCTCGGGATGCGGCCCAGATGAAGGCTCCTGGGGCGACGAGGTCGGGCTTGAATACGTCTGTGGTGGCGCCTTGGGAGAGTGGGCCGGTGGAGGAGGTTGCGTATATGACTGGCGCTGTGAGGTCGCTTGCTGTTGTGAATGCTGACGAGAGGGACGCGCGTGGACTGCATGGGCGAACGGTGGTTGGGTGAGTGTGAGTGCCGGGTGAAAGAAGGGGAAAGGCGCAGGAGAGTGGGAAATGGAGAGGTGAGGGAAGAAAGGTGGATTAGAAGAGGAGGTTTGATGCCTGAGTTTTTCAAGCACATAGGAGAACGGAGTTTGGCAAAGCAGGCCCACACTCGGCACACGCCCTAGCTTGAGACCACACAAACCTTCAGTCAGCCTGAGCGTGAGCATGGTAAGGGTGCGGCACGTACTTGGGCGTTTGGAGGAAGGCGAGGAGGGTATCGGAGTCTCCCACGCTGACGCCCACCACGGGCAGGTCGCGCGCGTACGGCTGGTTGGTGCGTGGCGAGCTGTGCAGCACCACGCCCACCGCCCCCTTCGCCTTCGCCTCCGTCACCTTTGCGGTCAGAGGCACGTCTCCCCCTGCCACGCACACCACCAGCTTGCCGGTCACCAGTGTCTGGTCTAACGTCCCAGGTGCACAGCCGTCCGCCTGGCGAGGAGGGGGGTGTGGAAGGAGGGAGAGAGGGAGGAGTTGGGGTGCATGCAGTGGGGCGGATGGCATGCAATGGGGTTGGTTGCCCTGGGGCAAGCAGGGTGCTTCCTTGGCATCTGGCAGGGTCTAGAATCTCACAAGGCTCACCTTGGCAGCACTATATCACCCCCACCTTGGTGGCACTCCCACCCCACCCCGCCTTGGCAGGGCTGCATTCACTCACCTGGGCACCATCAGTGGAAGCGAGCTTGGCGTCGGGCGAGTGTATGATGGGCACGTTGGTGATCTCAGAGCCGTTGGTTGCATTGGAGAAAGCAGGGTGCTTCCTTGGGATCTTGCAGGGCTCTCCTTGACAACACTCGCTCACCTGGGCAGCGTCGGCAGTAGCGAGCTTGGCGTCGGGCGAGTGGATAATGGGCACGTTGGTGATCTCCGTGCTGCCCGCGCCCAGCCCGTTCACGTCCAGGACTGTGCCGTTGGACAGCATTAGCTTCGCTGAGAACCGCCGGTTGATGGTGCTGCAGGGGAGGAGGCAAGGGGTGGGAGGAGGGGGAGGGAAGACTTTTGCGTCGACTGGAACGACAGCGCTGCTGCCTGCTCCCACCCATCCCAGCCCATTCACGTCCGGGTCTGTGGCGTTGGACAGCATCAGCTTCGCTGAGAACCGCCAGTTGATGGTGCTACGGGGGAGGCATGGAGTGGGTAAGAGGGAGAAGGGATGGGAGGGAAAGAGGAGGATGGGAGACGCAGGGAGTGAGGTGAGGGGGCGAGAGGATTGCGCATGTATGGTTGATGTGTTAACCAAGGTGGCACCTTCAGATGGTACAAACAGCAGCAGACGAAGCAGAGTCAGAAGGGCTTGTAGGAATCTCTCCTCTTCCCGCCCTTCCTCCTTCTCTTCTCCCCCTCCTCCCATTCCTCCCTTTTCCCATCTCCCAAAGTTTCCCGCCCTTCCCCCCGTTCCTCCCCTCCCTCCCCTTCCCCCCGTTCCTCCCCTTCCTCCCCTTCCTCCCCTTCCTCCCCCTTCCCCACCCCCCCTTTTCCCCCCACACGCACCTCGCCCCGACCGTCAAGTAAAACGGCGAGAAGTTCACAACAGTGCGCGCCGTCTCACTCCCCTTCCCGCCATTCCCAGCCGCCGCCACCACCAGAGTCCCCGCCATACTCGCATACAGCACCGGCAGATCATCAAAGTAGCTCTGCCCACCGTCCACTGCGCCCAGAGCCAGCAAGACCACATCACAGCCGTCCGCTACGGCTTGATCCAAGGCCTGTTCAATGTCCGCGGTCGTGGCTACGAGGCCTTGGGATTCGGTGCTGCGCCAGAAGACCTTGTATGCTGCGATGCGCGCCCTCGGTGCTGTGCCGCTGCCCGCGCCCACGGTCTGCCCGCGTGCCACTGTCATCAGCGTGTCGCGATTGCCCGCTGCCGCACTGGTAGGGGGTGGAGGACGGAGGGCGGGGAGTAGAGGGCGGAGGGTGGAGGGGGAATGGGGGAAAGCCGGGGGGGAGCGAAGGGTGGAGGGGAAATGGGGGAAAGCCGGGGGGGCGGAGGGCGGAGGGCGAGGGGATATGTGAGAGCACAGGTGGTGATAAGAGACACGAGGACAGAAGGGCAAGTAAGCGAGGGGCCAGGTAGTGCAGGCAGGGACTTCATTGCATCGCTTGCAGACAGCCCGTGCGTGCAGCGAGTAGAGACGAGCAGGGGCGAGGAGCAGCAAGCGAGCAGAGAGCACAGCACGCATCTCCCACCAAGCAAGCAAGCAAGCGCGCGTCGTGCAGAGGGCGAAAGCGCACTCACGCAGCGACCCAGGAGCCATGGCCGTCAGCGTCGCGGGGCGAGCGCCAGTCAGAAGTAGTGTCAATGGCGCCGAACTCGCTCTCAAACGCCGAGGCGAAGAAGCTCGCCTGCACGAGCTTGCGCGTGCACCCCTTGAAGTCCGCCGTGCGCGCACAGTCCGTGGACAGCGCGTGCCAGCTCGGGGGGAACCCGCTGTAGCCCTCCTGCGGGGAAAGGGGAGGGGGAAGATGGGAGAGAGCGCGTTCCGCGCGGAGATGGGAAGGGGGACGAGGGAGATGGGGGAAGGAGGGGTGAACGTTTGGCGGCTGGTGCATGTGCGTGTTGGGCTTGGGGAGGGTAGCGATTGGGGAGATGCGTAGCAGGGAGAGCGCGCGTGTAAGAGACTTCGAGGCGAAGAGGGGAAGCGAGGTCGGGAGCGGGGGGAAGGGAGTGGGGCGGGGAATCGGGAAAGGGAGCGGAACGAGAGGGGAAAGGAGCAATCAGAGAGGATAAAAGAAAGCGGAAGGATTACCCTTCCCGTCCAGCGAGTCACCTCATTCCTAACCCCTCCCGCATCCCCACCCGCATCCCTTCCCCGCAAGCACCCCCGCACCCTCCCCCCCTAAACCCCTTTCCCCCCTCCCCCCACTTCCCCAACACTGCACCTCTCCTCACGCGTCCCCCCTTTCACCATACCTCGCTAAAGGAGGGGTTTTCCGGCCAGATACCCGTATCCACGACGCCAATAACAGCGTCCTCGCCCGTATAGCTCGCACTCCAGAACGTCTTAGGTAGATTAAGTATCGCCGGCGTCTCGCTCGTCTGTTTCTGCACCGCGCGGCTCCGCAGCACCTGCAGCACGCGCGCGTCGCCGCGCAGGCTCTCCGCCTGCGCCTCCGTGAGCACCGCCGCGAAGCCGTTGGAGATGTAAAAGTACCGATATAAGATGTCCCGCGTTATGTTTGTGAGCCCCGCCTGTCGCGCCACCTTGTTCTGCTCGTCTTGTAACGTGTCTACTAGCGACTGGATTAACGAGCTCGACCGGTCGAACCACGGCCGCCCGTTGCGCGTCTCCGCGCCCCAATCCGCCGCCGCCAGCTTCCGCCTGTTTCTCCGCGCGCCCTCCCGCGCAACGCCCCCCGCATCCCGCGCCATCCGCGCGGAAAATCGCTCCTCCGCGGACCTGGCTTCCGCCAGCAGCCTCCGCGAAGCCCCCCCAGTCCCGACACCCCCGTTGCTGCTACCGCTCCCGGCACTCGCGGAACTACCGCCAACGGGCGCGCCGCCGGCGGACGCGGAGTTGATCGAGGCGGAGAAAATGGCGGCGGACGTGGGGGAGACGGAGTCGGGGCTGAGCGCGCCGTAGAACTTGACGCCCGCCGCGGTCGACGGCGCGTCGAGCGCGCTCACCTGCACCGCCACGGGCGCGCGGCGCAGGCGCACGATGTACACGTCGCCGCGCGTGATGGCGCGCGCGCGGGAAGGTCGGTGGCCTGGAAGGGGGAATGGGCGGAACGGCAGGAGGGACGAGCGGAGTTCGGAGGTAAAAATTAGCGGTAAGCGGAATGAGCGAAAGCGTAATGTGGGGAAACTGAAAGGGTGACGAGCGGAGGCCGGCAGCGCCTCGACGGTTCGAGCCGCCTGGACTTGCGGAGAGGGGGAAAATCGAGGGGGAAGGGACGGGCGAGTGGAACGAGAGATAGCGGAGAGGAGTTGCGAGCAAAGCAAGCTTATAAGGAATAATCTTTCACACGTGGAAGAGAGCAGCCGCTCACGGCGGCGCTTGGCGAGGAGAGAAATATGAACGGCCCTTATCAACGGACGCTGCGACTAATTCCTAATCAACGGGTCATTCTCCGGCCGCTTCTATGGCAATGCCGCGGCGGATGTGCGGACATCCGAACGACGAGTTGACGGATTACGCGGTGAGCTGCGGACCAGCCGCAGCCGTGATGATTGACGGTGGAGAGGCGCGACGCAAGCACGCGCGTCGCACGCACCCAGGTGCACGTGCAGAATACACTTAACGAGAGGTATTGCCGAAATCGACCGGCTAGAGTTTTACTAGTTTAGTGGATAGAGAATACCCTCAAAAGGATGGGCAAGGTGGTAGCAATCGCGGCGGGTAGAGCGGCAGACAGCAGCAGCAGCAGCTCGCGGGGAACAAACCGCGGCCCACCTGGTGCGAGCCAGTTGGCGGCGGAAGTATGGACGACGAGGAGCGGAAGCAGCAGCGCGAGCAGGGTTACCCATCTCGCCTGAGCCGTGATCCTCGCTCGCGCGTGCGAGCCCGCGAGTTCCATGCTGCCGACGGGCCTAGAGTCAAGGAGGTCTTTATGCGAGCAGGGCTAAATTTAGTTATATTCTTAGGCCTGCAGAACTAGATTCCTTTATCGTGCTTGCTGAGCGGCGGAACGACGAAGTAGATGTGGTGAGTGTTCGGGCTGTGATCGGTCGAAATTAGAGAGACGCGGGACGGAAGCGCAGCGCGCGAGAGTTTAAAGACCAGGCTAACTAAGCGGGATGCGGATCAGGAACGGTGACAGTCTATTCCGTACGGTGGCCAAATGCTAGTGGCAAGCAAGTGTAAGGGGAATGCGAGGAACAGCAGTCAGTTTAGACTGTGCGAAGGATTCAACTTTCGACCACCATTGGCACGAAATTATTGGAGATTCGGCAGAGTCGAGCAGAAAACGCGCGTCAAGGCGAGCGAGGGGGGGCGGGTGGGGGGGAGGAGGCGAGAGAGGGCCACGCACCAGGAAGGTGAGGTGAGGCGAGCGGATGGAACCCAGCGCCCGACAGAGCAGAGGAGAGGAGGGTCGAAACATGAGCCCGCAGTGCAGCTTGTGGCGTGGCTGTGCCGTGCCGACGTTCAATCCGTGTCGCAAGCGCGTTCCCCATGCCCATGGCCCTTCCCCCTCCAGCCAGCCCAAACAGTTCTGAGAGGAGGGCGGGGGCGGCAGAGCACTGAAGGACGGTGGTGGGCTTGTCTTGGGCAGCTCAGGCTGCCCAGCAAACATATTCTCCGACGCGACCGACCTCCTGCCGCTGGTCCGCGGTTCTAGAAGCCCCAAAGGGTATTGTGTGGTGTTCAGTACCAAGAAGCAGGGGTTTAGAAGGGGGGGCAGACGGAAAACTTAGAAACTTAGCTAAGTGTAGCGCTACAGAAGTCCGAGTTCCACGATTCAAGACAGACGACATTCGCAGGGCAGCTCTAGAGGCGTTGTTGTAACATACAATCTGTTTCTTCAGACGCAGTTCCACGAGGGTGCATGGGCAAGTACGTCTGAATGCGGCTTAACGAGGGCGTGTCCAAAGAGTACGTCCGATTGCGGCTGAAAAGGGCCTGGTACGATTTAGAGCGGCCTCTATTAGTGCTAGAATGGTTAGGTACGGTATTGTCACGATTACGTATTTTTTGGACCCGCCCTGAGGCTGTGTACGAACCAGAGCGGTCATTTTAATTGGTAGAATGGTTGGGTAGGGTCTGTTACATGACCCAACGAGCCCCTACTTTTGATTCCAGTCAGCAATTTTCAATCCTCAATCAGAAAAAGGACGGTTATATTTTGTTTCTCCCCATTGTGGAGTTCGGTATACGTACTTGGTCAAAAGAAACTGCTTTAGGGTGGTTAGATTTCAGTTGATATGGTTTATTTAGCCAATTCGAATAAAACAAGCCGAGCCTGGAGATTACGCGCGGTCTATAAGAGCAAGATACAGGGTAAACACATAACAAGCGCGTTGAAGATACACACATTTTCTCGTAGCTGTTACGATAAATGAAATGTTGAATATCGCGCATTCCTATCAGTAGCAAGTCAGATATGTAGTAGCGAGTACGAACGAGAAGACTTAGAACTACGCGAACCTCACGGCCACCCGGCAGCTTCATGGCTACGTAGACGCTGATCACGCAGGAGATGTTGACAACAGACGTGTTAAACTGTATTATGTTTGTAGGCTGTAGTGGGGTAGCCAATATGGGGTACAACCCCAACTAGGGTTTGCTACTTGTACCCAATTCTTCCATTCAATGCACTCATTCTTGCCTAGTTCTTTTCACATGGTATTCAGAGCAGGAGGTCCCTAGGACCTACCGACCGTTTTTTTTTAAGGGCCCACCACCGCTCGCATGCGGTTACCACGCTACCCCGTGCCCTAGCCTCGTAGCGCCCTCGTGCGCCCTCGTTAGCGCCCTCGTGCGCCCTCGTTAGTGCCCTCGCGCGCCCTCGTTAGCGCCCTCGTGCGCCTCTCGTTAGCGCCCTCGCGCGCCCTCGCTAGCGCCCTCGCGCGCCCTTGTTAGCGCCCTCGTGCGCCTCTCGTTAGCGCCCTCGTGCGCCTCTCGTTAGCGCCCTCGCGCGCCCCTCGCAGCGTCGCCCGCCCGCCGTGCTGCCCGCTCGCAGCGTCGCCCGCCCGCCTCGCTGCCCGCTTGCAGCGTCGCCCGCCCGCCCGCTGCCCGCTTCGCAGCCCGCCCGCCGCGCTGCCCGCTCGCAGCGTCGCCCGCCCGCCCGCTGCCCGCTTGCAGCGCTGCCCGCCCGCCCGCTGCCCGCTTCGCAGCCCGCCCGCCGCGCTGCCCGCTCGCCGCGTCGCCCGCCCGCCCCGCTGCCCGCTTCGTAGCCCGCCCCCCGCACTGCCCGCTCGCCGAGTCGCCCGCCCGCCGCGCTTCCCGCCGAGCTACCTACCTGCAGCGCTGCGGCAGCTTCCTTTGCTCAGTCGCACTGTCACTATGGCTTCCATCCGCGTGCTGTCGTTCGATGCTGAGGGCCGCCCTGTGAAGTTCGCAACTTGGCTGGACGACCTGCAGCTGTTCCTTCTGAGCGATAGCAAGGAGCATGTGTCGCTCTATGATTACGCGTCTGGTGCTGCACCTGCCCCTCCTGCCACAGCTGAGCTTAGTGTTCGTTCCCACTGGCAGACTCGTGACGCAGCTGCTCGCCTAGCCATTCGCAGTCACCTGCCGCTAGCTGAGCTCGAGCATTTTGGCGACTGCAAATCCGCTAAGGCCCTGTACGATGCTGTCGTTGCTCGCTACTCCTCGCCTGCCACAGCCGAGCTTAGCCGCCTCATGCTGCCGTACCTGTTCCCTGAGCTGTCCACCTTTGCTACAGTCGCCGATCTTATCACCCACCTTCGCACTAGTGATGCTCGCCTGCGTGCTGCCCTTCCCACCGAGTTCTGCACTAAGAACCCCCCTCCACTGTACTGGACACTCCACTTCATAGTCACCCGACTCCCTGACACCCTCAGCTCAGTTCGAGACCACTTCCTTGCTCGCTGTCCCACTGAGCTCACAGTCGCCCTCCTAGAGGAGCAGCTGCTAGCGGCCGAAAAGAGCATTGTAGCTGTCGGTGCTGCTCGTGGCGCTCCTCGCACCCCCATCTTTGAGGGGTGTTCTCCCTCTCCCCTCGCTCCCTCCTACGCTACTGCTGCTGCTGTTGACTTCCTTGGTGCTGAGTCTGCTGGCGCTGCTTCTACTCCTGGTGGGAGGCGCCGCACCGGCAAGGGCAAGGGGGGCAAGGGTGGCGGGGGTGGCGCTGGGGGGGGAGGAGGTGGGGGAGGTGGGGGGGGAGGCGGTGCTGGAGGGAGCGGTGGCGGGAGTGCTGGTGGGAGTGGGGTCGGCAGCGGAGGCGGGGGCGGCGGAGGGAGCGGTGGCGGTGGTGGCGGCGGCGGCGGTGGCGGCGGCGGCGGCGGTGGCGGCGGCGGCGGTGGCGGTCGGAGCGGAGGTAGTGGTGGTGGCGGAGGTCGGAGTGGAGGCACTGGCTCGGGCCAGAGCTCCCAGCAGCAGCAGCGTCCCCAGACGACCCAGCAGCTTCGTGAGTGGCTTGCTCAGCGTGGGACGTCGGGGGGCAATGGCCGCTGTTCCTATGTCATTCGCACAGGTGACCGCAAGGGACAGACGTGTGGGAGGTTCCACACCCCGTACCGCTGCTTCTCCCGCCTTGACGACGCTTGGCGTGAGGAGATGGGCGAGGATGTTGAGCGCCCCCGCTGGGCTGAGCTCATGAGGGCTGGTGTTGATATCTTTGCTCTTGACTATGATGCTATTATTGCTGCCATGTATGCATTGACTGTTAGTGCCGAGGGAGACTGTTACTTGTGTGTGCCGCCTGACCCAGGTATAGAGCCCGCTGTCCTGGGTACTAGTGAGTCTG